TGTTTCTTCTTGAATAATTGTTAATCAAAGTAACACTCAAGTTATTAATATTGAATGAAGTTACTATACATTAGTAGATAGACACCTAAAAGACATCAAAATGGTCATTGGCCTCCCATTTATGTGACCAATTATGGCCAGAACATTTATGCCGTACAAAAATAAGTTGAATACGTTTTAATGGTTTCTCCTTTTCTTTGGGGAGCTGCTCTCATTGTTTCTGACCAGTCACTGATAAAGTTCAGAGCTGAGCCAGGCAACCTTTAAGTACAGATAAGTGTTCTCTGCGTATGTGTGCGAGTGTCTGTCTTTGCAGCTAGATGCAGAGAGAGAGCTCTAGGAGGAAACCATCATCTGCCCTCACCCTGATGTCCGGGGTATCAGATATACCTGGAGTCTGACCTCTGATCACTTGTCACCTAAATAATCACTAGAAGATATGCTTCGAATTTACGTCCATGTGTGGAGATTTTCTAAGTTTATCTATGTTTCAACCAATCAGAATCCTCTGTACCTATATGCATTGACGTAATTAGTGACCTCTGTTAGAGTATAATTGCTGATGTTTTGAGCATGTACGCAGAGCGGCCTACGAACTCCATCGAGAGTGTTGAAGCTGACTTCTTTAATTGATCGCATCTCTGAATCCTGGTCTTTGTTCATCATACTGTACCTGGTCCTTGGGTTTAACTGTAAATTCCCCTACAGTTACAAACAAACCTGGCTCAGGGCCACAAGCAAATTAAATTAACCCAAGAGTAGATATTTATTATGGTATTACATTATCGAATTATGCAAACAACACTGAATCAGGAAAAAAAAATCGCCTCACACTGGGAAAGAAGAACCTTCTTATCAGTCGATTCATCACATGTAAGCCATCAGCACGTGCCGCTTGACTCCACCCTAAATACACACAAAGAGAGAACACACAAAACAAGACAACCGCCACCTGTTAAATGGAAAATGCAAATAAGGGAACAAAAGCTAGGCAGGATTATATCAGTAGATAGGTTGTAGTGTGCTATGTTCAAGCATATGCAACCAGGAACAAGTCTGGAAAAACAGCAGCAGAAACAATATCCAATGTCAGTCTCATTCTCATTCTACGCTTTGGATATTGTTGCACACTGGCTGCACACTGCGTACGAAATTGCAAGTGAAAACAGCAAATATAGTGAAATGGGGGGGGGGTTGTGATCATTAGTAAATACAAATTGCTATGTCGTTGTCCAAAACACGAGAAAATGTGGACCAGAAAAACTTAAACATGTAACATTACCAGTACCGGTAGAAATTAATTCAGTACCATAACATCTTTACTATTTCTTAAAGGTGAAGTTTTTTTATGCTAAAATACATTATCTTAACCAGGGGTGTCCAAACTCGGTCCTGGAGGGCCGGTGTCCAGAAGAGTTTAGCTCCAACCCCAATTAAACACACCTGAACCAGATAATCAAGCTCTCACTAGGCATACTAGAAACTTAAAGGCAGGTGTGTTGAGGCAAGTTGGAGCTAAACTCTGCAGGACACCGGCCATCCAGGACCGAGTTTGGGCAGCCCTGATCTTAACCAAGTTTATTGTTCGTTGACTACTATGTTAACATCGAGCACCATTGAGAGTGTCTGCTTAGATGTGTCAATCACTTTCCATAACCAATAGCATGAGTTTGGGGCATGGCTACTGTAGCAGGCGGAGCCAAATGGTGTTTAGCCATTACGAGACAATGACTGATCTCTTACATTGGAAAATACATTCAACTTCAGTTACAGAAGTGCAAGACAAAAGTCACTGCATTTAGACCTTCAGGTCAAGAACATGTCAAAAAGAATGTGGTATTACGATGAAACTGGCAACAAGGACGCTTCAATCCCATACAGCATACAGACAGTCGGCCGTCAGACAATGTAGGGTGGTTTTTGAGCATCAGTCAGCATTGGTTTTTCGGTGTGTTCCGCACTGTTGGCTCTAGTCGGATGCCATCAGTGTTTTTTTCAGCATGTCAAATCATCTGCAAAAAAAGAGAACTCAGATTGGGTATTAAGTTTAGCAAATGAGTGCATAAGAAAAAAACAGAAATGACGAAAGCAAACCAAAGACGAGTAAAGAGGGAATGCAGAGATACTTCTTGTCATTCTATCAATTTCTTTCTTTCTAAATCAATAGGAAGAAGATCAAGGGCTGACAATGCCAGTGCCATTTGGAATTCAGCAGAAATTACAGAAAAAAAGTGCTTATTTTTGGTGCGTTCCAAACGGGATATATCGCCCTCCGAAGGGCACTTCGGAGTGAAAACAATTATGGCTGCCATATTGAAGGGTCGTTCCAAACCGAAGTGCTCAAAATTGGCCACTTCAAAGGGCCCTTTGGAATGAAGGATTGTCCAACTGATGGACACTTCGGGCTCCCATGATCCTTTGCGCAGATTCTTTGCATGATGACAGCGCCTCTGTGTGGGCACGCAGAAGGGCACTTCAAGAAACAGTTGTTTGGTCCCCTACAGCCTTCAACCCTTCAAAGCTCTCACTCCGGAGGGTAAACCCTATGAAGGGATTAGGGCATAGGGATGAGCCCTTCCGAATGGAACTCAGGGCCAGTATATCCACAGTTCTAGTTCTCCCAGTTTCCCTGTTTAAATGCCGAAAAAAGACTACTGCCACCTGCTGGTATGGGAGAGTTATATTTTCTCAAGCAAGCGTAGAGCATACACTCTAGTTGGTCATCGGCTGTAGTCTGTCCGGTGTGTTCTAGTGCAATTTTTTTTTTGCCCTGACACAGTTGATGTGAGACAATGCGAGGCAACGCCACAGTCGGCTTTCCTTAAGGCTAGATTTTTGGCATCGGTTTGGTGTGTCCCTACCCTAAAACAGAGTGGAAAGTGACAGAACTGCTTCAAAAAAGGAATGATAGCCAGCTGTGTGGAAAGCTGTGTAAGAGATCGGACCAAGCATTTGTGTACATTTGTTAATTAATTAGACATTCTATGTATTTTTTTAACTTATTCATGAATAATGTTCTTTAAAGCCCGTGGCACACCAAGTTGATATCAAAGAACTAGCATTGACTGTGTTGTCGTTTTGTGTCAACTGCGTCTCAGCCAACCATAACACACCATAAGAACTACAGGTGACTGTCAACACTCATGTGCCTGCATGTAAGGAAATAACAATCTATATCAGCAGGTATCAATAGTCAATATTCAGCATTCAAAAAGGGAAACTAAAACTAGGACTGCAGATATACAAACTGTAACCACATCAGCACTTGCTTACCATTATTTTTTAGGGCTGTGATGGCGGGCCATTGTTGAGCATCTGTCGTGCTGGTTTTTGTGGCGTGTTCACATGTTAGCTCAAATCGTGTTCATGTTGTGCTCAAAAGAGGCCCAACATCACGGCCCTAAAAATGCCCTAATGGGTTTGAACTCAATGTTTTATCAAAACCGCTTAAAGCTACAGTAGTAGCCAACAAAATGTCTGGTATATTATTTTGCATTTTGTTGAGCTGTCCATCTGTGTATGCTATCAATGACACATGATAGGTAAGAGTCTAGTTTAACCGCTTACACCGATTTGACTGTTTATTAATTGTTTCTTATTGCACTGTAAATCAGTTTTTTGACAGAATCAACTGTGCAGTTCAATAAAAGCAGGACAGGAAGAAGACCCTTCACCTACAGTTAAACGCGCATGTACAAGAACACACACTCTTCATCTCTCAAGAGAACCGACCACAGCAGGTTTCAGTTTGACTCTGAAAATGAGCTGAGAAGATGTCACAATTGTGAGATGGCAGATGTTATTAACTTTTTGCACACTTCTCACTGAACAATTGAAGAAAATGTCTCACGTGTTTGTTTTGTTCTGTTTGTGCTGGTGGCGTCTGATTGGTAAGTTATAAATATATATATATTTTTTGGGCTTAATGTCAGAAAAATTCTTTGATAGATGTTAAAAATCACGAAAATTAATGGAAAATTGCGTATTCTCCATTATGCCACCTTCAAATCTCATGCATGGCCCAATTTTAGAAATGCATTACTGGGGGTGTATTTCGAAAACTTAGCAGATTATCTTGCAATAAATCTTAGATTTAAAAATAATAATAATAATTAAGAGAGATTATAAGCTTTTGTTTTTTGATTCAGTACTTACTTGACACCGAGACCTCATTTGAACATCTGATAACTGAATTTACACCAAAGAACTGGGTCAAATGTTTCCATACATTTGATTCTTATACTTGATATGCGTGCTTTTACCCAGATGATCAAAATCTGCAAACATTCACTGACACTCAAGGCAACACATAACATTAAGAGCTCTGGGGCCTCATTTATAAAGTGTGCAGTACGCTCAGATTTGATCTTAGAGTGTGCGTGCACTTAAATCCACGCCAGCGCTCATATTTGTAAAAACTGTCTTTGACGTGGAAAAGTGCTTAGCATCACATCAGGGTCTGAGAAGACGCACATACTTTTTCTTGTTCGAATACTGCAGGTTTTTGAAAATGTAAGCTGTTCTTGCAGCTCGCTGTTCTAAATGAAAGAATTTGGATGATTGGTGATCTTTTACATGTTAATGACATTAATTAGGAGTCGTGTAAAAGGCAGAGAGCTGAAACCATTCATTTGCACGCAAGTTCAAGATCATTAGCGATTCATAAATTTCACATCTAAAAGAGAGGCATACGTGCGTTTTCTGTGCATACCTTCATTCTATGAATCACGCGTACGCATATTTGCGAGATGATCGTAAGATCAATTTTAGGATGGTTTCTGCACATTTTATAAATGAGGCCCCTGGGGGTATAAACTTTTGAACAGGATGATTGTCACAATGTGAGATTGCAGGAATTATTATCTTTTTTTCAGACTTTTCAAACAATTGAATCTGTGGAAACTGATTGGTTATTTTGTTTAAAGTTCTTATTTCTTAGTTCTGCCCTTCGGAAGCAGCAGCACATGAAATATTTACATTTCTAGACAAAGTATGAGCAATTTAACCCGACCATCCTGTGGAAAAGTTTACACCCCAGACTCTAAATGCAGTGTGTTGTAGGGGTGGGCGGATCGATTGTTCTGCACCTAAAAATATCGATCCTAGGGTGGTTTTTAACCAGCAATATTATTTCTTTAGCACAGACTTCAGAATGTATCAAAAGTGACAGTAAAGGCTTTTACATTGTTACAAAAAATATATATATATTTAAAAAAAACTCTTCTTTTTAACTAAAGAGTTCTGGGGGGAGGGGTATTTAAATAAAATAAATATATAAGTAATATCACAATATCACAGTTTTCACAAAAATATTAAGCAGGACAACTGTTTCCTGAGCATCAAATCAGCATATTAGAATGATTTCTGAAGGATCATGTGACACTGAAGACTTGAGTAATGATGCTGAAAGTTCAGCTTTGATCGCAGGAATAAATGGCATTTTAACATATATTCACATAGAAAAAAAAGCCTAATTTAAATCGTAATAATATTTAACAATATCACTGTTGTTATTGTATTTTGTTGGAAAGATTTGTATTTAAATCTTTCCAACCTCAAACTTTTGTGTGTAATGTTCATTATAAATAGTTTGGTTTGTGCAAATAAAAAAAAAGTTAAACATTCAAATGGATCATGTAATGTTTTGTAGTTGTTAATAAATCTGTCAGAAAAAAATAAATAAATAAAAGTTTTACCTTCAGATGTACAACAGCCCATCTCTGGCAGCCCTTTACAAAAATGAACCATGGTTTTACTACAGTGACCACAGTTTAACTATAGTATTTGTTTACTATACCATGGTTACCACTACTAAAACCATATTTTAAACATAGAATAAAAACACAGGACTATATGTTAGAAGCTATCTCTTCTGCCAGTAGGTGGCACTTTTTCTAGATTTACCTTGTTGCTAGGAGTGGTAGACAGTCAACTGGTACTAATATTTCCACATATTTACAGGCTGGAAGCAAAGCAATTACAAACCTGAGACGCTCTGAGAAGCGATCAGATATGAGCTAGGTGATTGGAAGCCTCAGGAAACTGCTCAGAAAAAAAGTTTCAATGAGAGATACGGATGCAGAGTGGATGCAATCCTGTAAAGAATAATTAAAAGTGCTGAGTGTAAGAGAAAGAGAGAGTTGTGAGAGTGGACGCCACAAGGCAGGCTTATTTATATATTATATATATACTTATATAATATATAAATTACTTATATATTGTTAATATATTTTTCAATACATTTCAAGACCCTACAAATGCAAAACCTCTCTAAGCATTAATTCACAAATACATCTGTAGTAACTAAGTACTAAGTACTAAAGTAATATAATTTCATTAGTCAAACACATCTCCTGATCTAAATGTCCCATATTTAAGAAGGTCAAGCTGTTGAAAATATGCAGGTGAATTAAACTTTTGATGTTGAAATTGACTTTGTAGCTTCATTCATTTTTTTGTGCTCTGGCTAGTTGATAACGTGAAAACTCCATTAATATAATGTTTGTATATCACCTTTCAATTCCTTTTGTGTATCTGCGGCTGTTCTGAATGTTTTTCAATTTACAATTAGTCACAAACAACAGCTGATTGCAGGCTTTGTAAACCATCAGAAATCGAAAATCTGTTTCATTTATCAGGTGTGTTTGGTGAGTCATTGTCAGTGACGGAAGGAGATTCTGTAACTTTACACACTGCTGTTACTGAAATACGTGAGGACGACGATATACTGTGGAAATTTGAAGCTGGAAAGTCTCACATAGCTAAAATAAAGAAAAAGAAGCAAAACTTCTCCACATATGATGGTCCTGATGGGAGATTCAGAGACAGACTGAAGCTAGACGATCAAACTGGATCTCTGACCATCACAAACATCACAACTCAACATGCTGGAGTTTATCAACTAGAGATAGCAGGAGCGAAAAAATCATCAAAAACATTCAGTGTTTCTGTCTATGGTGAGTAGTGCAAGCATTCACAAAGTTTGTTTTATTAAAGGAATATTCAGTACAAGTTGAGCTCCATTAACAGCATTTGTGGCATAATTTTGATTAAGGATGGACAGTCTGATGATTTTATATCGTGATCAATCTTGAAGACGTTAACAATTTACTTTTCAAGTGAATCGCAGAGATCGTGATCATTCGCGTCTTCGTAAAAATGTTAAAACTACAGCAATGGCTGCCTACTAGATGGCTGTAACTGGCCAAATTATATCACACATCTCCAATATGATGTATTTAATGCATGGTGATGTATTTGAAAACAGTTTAACTTGCAAATTGCGCTAGCAGCAGTGCGATGAATTAAATCTTAGTTTCAGCTTCGATTTGAATAAAACAGTCATTGTGCCGTATTCCGTTCCGTTCATTTAAAGCAGTGCACTTTTGCCACTCCTTAAAGTCTGCGTGAACCGGAAGTTGCTGACGAATTTATTTCACTATAGTGATGTATAGAGTGGGGGAACTATGACATCAGAACCAGGAAGTGTAATTTGCCGAAGGTTCCTTTGAGATTTGTCTACGGGGTTTTATAATTAAGGGGGGTTTTCAATTTATGAATAAAATAAAGCCTGTGGTAAACATAACTTGACGATACTTTTACGTTTTGTTCTACAATGTAAACTGCACAGACTCACAGCCCAAACATACATTTAAAAAAATGAACATAACTGCTTCAAAATTTGCATTTTGTGTATGGTTGTGTGTAATTTACGTTGTACAACAAACGTAAAAGTATTTTCAAGTGATGTTTACCACAGGCTTTATTTTACTCAGAAATTGAAAACCCCGCTTAATTATAAAACCCCGTAGACAAATCTCAAAGGAACCCGTGGCGAATTACTCCTCCAGGTTCTGACGTCATAGTTCCCCCACTATATTTCCAACAGAAACGGAATCTTGAGGGCGGGGTTTTGTTTTTATTTTATTTTATTTTATTTTTCAGTGGATTAACTTTCATGGAATAATTGTTCACCTTAAGACTAGCAATGTAAGCTAACAAAATAAATATAGTACATTTTGATTTTATTCAGACTTTAAAAGCCCAATAACATCCAAATCGGCTAAAAGCCCAAACTGACTGGGGGTCTTGAGCCCCTGACCAATTAATCGCTGATGCTGAATTGCCCCTTCGGTCAGATCTAGGAGCCCCCGGACAGCGATTTCAACCTATGGGGTCCCACCCATTATTTCACCCACATTTTGTTTTCCTAAAATGTATTTGAAACATCAACGTAGACACTTTAATTAGATTTAATGTGCCTTCAATGTATATAAAATGACTTTTGTCAATTTCTTTTAATGTGGACACCTAAATGTCTTTGACCCTTAGTAATTTTGCTGTTTGAGATGATAGAACCCCTCGAAAAATAAGAGCTGGAAATAGGATTGTTGTTTAGATTTATCAATATTTTTCTTTATTCTCTCATGTTTCCAGCTCGTCTGCCTGTTCCTGTCATCAGCAGTAACTTTTCAAACTGTTCTTCATCATCATCACAGCAGAATTGTTCATTGGTGTGTTCAGTGGTGAATGTGGGTCATGTGACTCTCTCCTGGTACAAAGGAAACAGTTTATTGTCCAGCATCAGTGTGTCTGATCTCAGCATCAGTCTCTCTCTACCTCTGGAGGTGGAATATCAGGAGAAAAACACCTACAGCTGTGTGCTCAACAATCCCATCAGCAACCAGACTCAACATCTGGACATCACTCAATTCTGTCACACATGTGCAGGTACAGCAGGACTGATGTATGTGTTTATTTACTGAGCTGATCTCTGTCTTATGTTGATCAGACTGATTCAATCACTTACATTCATTAGTCTCTCTTTTACTCTCCATCAGCTCCTCTAGACTCTGTATCTCTGATAGTGTTGATTTCTGCTGCTGCTGGATCTCTGTTGATTGTAGCTGCAGTCGGGATCTTCTGCATCTGCAGGAAATGTAAAAAAATAGCTCAGGAGATCATACAATTAATCAATATGATAAATATTTATCTTTTATAAGACACACATTTCATTACAATATTGACAGCTTGGTTGTTTTAACGTGTGTTATTTCAATGTTAATGCAGGTCAGACAAAAAGGAAAGACAGGACTCATTCAGTACTGTTTAAATCAACATCACGAAACAAGGTAAGAAGTTGCAAGTAGTTGTTGCAGTCAGTTAGTCTGTTACTCGTTTGTACAGTATAGTTCTTATAAATTGATGTTCCTTTCAAATTTTAAATTATATTTCAACGCTTTTTTTTTTTTGAGTAGACATTTTTATGAAATGATTTTACAGAAGCTTTAATAAGTTCTTGTAAAGCCTGCATATTCAGTCTGAGTGAATTTGAAGCAAAATTCTGTTATAATTGTTTTTATGTTTTGAAACAGTTGCTCTTGATTGACTGTATATTTTTCCTTGCAGAAATCAAAGAATGAGCATGTGTATGGAAATATCGCCCCAAAGCGATGATCAAATATCGAATCTACCAGAATAAAATAAATGTTGCAGCTCTGCAGGTCCTGACTCACACCTCTTTAGGTTACATTTATTCTCTGCCAGGATGTTTTTTTTTTTCCTATTGCACATCCACTCTCATTGTTATGTCTTGAATTTTTGCTGCTGTTCAATTTAGTGGTTCACAAATAGAATAGCATTCAGAAACTCAACAAAATGTTTTATTTTCTAGCTTAACAAGCATGGAACTTTAGCCTATTAAATACTGATCCCACCCTTTACTGTTCTCTGTTAATAAATACATTTAAAAAATAATAATATAGATTGCATACAGTGTTTCACACAGGATAACCGCTGCTGGATATTTTTGCAAATTCAGCACAATCACATCATCGCTCTCTGGTGTCGAAAGAGGAAAATCACATCTCTCTAATAATAGCGCTACTTTTACCCGACACAGTGCGCTATTAATAGATGCATGCTTCTTGCTTTATGAAGGTTCGACACCTTTCCAGTGATGCGCGAGCGCGCAATCAGACTGCCAAAGTCACGTGATTTACGTCACGTCCTAACTGTTTCGAAATGTCAGTGGTTCGCCGCTAGAGAGCGATGATCTCTGAGAACCCATGAACCAAAGTAAGAGCTGTAGTTTAGAGCTGTAGTCACCTATTGGTCTGATTACCCAAGCTCTCAGCAAAACAAATGAAACAATTTCATAAAATAACACATGGAAGACACTTCATATTTAATGGTATTAGATGATTTGTTATTTGCATTTAATATATTACAGCTTTAAGAAATAATTTGCAAGTGGTTTGTAGGTAGTTATGCATGTTTGGGTTTCCACTGCATTCCCAGTCAGCAAATTTCCTTTGGCGCAGATCTGGCCCATATCAACAGCTAAAGTGTGGCCCAGATTAGTTTGTGTTCGCCGGCCCAAAACTGGTCCACATCTTTTTAGCCAGAACTGAACCTAAACAGTGCCATAGCCCAACCCAGAGTGAGCCAAATAATAAAAACAGATGTGGCTGATATACGGACCGTATATGGTATTCTTATATGGCTGAGTTCTGTAAAGGGCTGATGGCCCTTATGTGGCCCACATGTGGCTGATAAACCAAATGCCATTATTTAACCATATTTACACCACACCTATTTTTTTTTTATTTAAAATACCCATTACACAGTAAATCTTAAACACAAAAATTGATTCACACTCATTATTAAAATGTTTATTGTAGAATTTTAATAACAGAATTACAATACAGAACATAACAGAAGTGTGCTATTTTGCAAATGTCAGATGAGTGAATAAATGTACAAAAATTTATACTTTTAGTAAGTCTCGCTAGTCTTTCTCACTCACAGTCTGTCAGGAAAAAGAAGAGAAAAAAGAACATTAGTATATCATAATTAGTATCACACATTAGATATTATTTCAAGACAAGCACATAAATGAGTGTAAATCAGCACTGCACACATTCTTTTCTATCACCCAAGACATGACTGCCTTTTGAAATTAGGAAAAAATTTGCTACTTTAATAACAGGCTATTTTTAGACATAATACTTAATTATATACATAATATTAATGAAAACATTCGTGTAATTGTACCTCAGTTTTGAAGTCACAGTTTCATACATTTTACAGCAGGGGGAGAAAACATACAATGTTTTTTTTTAATAAACAGTGGTTTAATGAACAATTTATAGCTCTGCCTTTAAATAAACTCAATTATAATTACAATTTTCTTAAGGATAAAAAATCTATCTTAGCTAATGCTATACAATAGGGAGCCCTATTAGAGCACATTACTAAAATATTAAAGGCTGCATTTAACAACAGAGCCCAATCTATTAAATTAAATTTATATTTATTTTTAGATAAAATAACCAACACACACACAAAAACTGTATGCAAACATATAAACTACACATTTGCACATTGCAATTTTCTAGCAACAAGCTGTGGAATGACTTGCCTGCGGTAAAGGTAATGCTGTTTTATTGGCATTTTTCCGCGGTTGCAAAACTGATTGAGATTACATGACATGAGCGTGTTTATTTCGCGTTATAACCGGTTGTAACTAGTAGAAAGGAGTTTTAAAGGGAAGGGATGATGATATTTGGCTCACTCTGGGTTGGGTTATGGCACTGTTTTGGTTCAGTTCTGGCTAAAAAGATGTGGACCAGTTTTGGGCCGGCAAACACGAACTAATCTGGGCCACACTTTAGCTGTTGATATGATCCAGATCTGCGACTGTGTCGCTCCACTGTTCAGACCAGCAGGGGTCAGGAGCGTGTTGTGAAACAACTGATTCAAACTTTCGAAAAATACATTTCCACACCTTTCAAAGATTCTTTTCGCACACTAAATCTTTAAATCAGCTGTTTTGTACTGAATGTATATAACCTAGTTGTTGTGGTGATGGTAAATCGCACCAGCAGAAAAACAACACATGTTACTGCCATAAGACTTAAAGACAGACCCGAAGCTGTATTGATAAATACATTCAATTATTATTATTATTATAATTATTACTATTATAGATTGACAGATAATCGGTTTTACCAATATCTTTGACTCATATTTACACCTATCTGCCCTCATTACTTTCATTCACTATAGTGGCGCCATCTGGTGGGTTTTGAATATCAGCAGATAAAACAACATCACAGCCCAATGCAACAGCTGATTTTAAAGGTCACGTGACATATTATGTAATGTGAAAATTTCGTCACTTTTATGTGCATGTGAAGGTTACAGAGATGATCTCAGTTATGCCTTAATATTGATTCAAAGCTCACTTTTTCATTTAGGCTAATGCTTTGATTTAAAGTAGGTTTTAAACAGTTTTACCATTTCTCAAAGGAAAATGCAGTGAATTACTAAATGATATGAGTCTAATGGATAATCTTGTGCAATTTAATGACCATTATATTTTCAATAGACTCTACTTTTTCAAATAGCCTATATAATTGTCTCTTCATCTCCAGATTTCTGCTCTTCCTTGGCTTCCTCAGGTTGATAAAAGAATAGTTTGGGTACCAGACAAAATACGGTTTTGTTAACTTGTTTTGGTTATCAAACAAACCATATATGCATGAATACCAACAGATGTCTTCTGATGGAATCTGGTGAAGTGAAGTGACGTGTGGCCAAGTATGGCGGCCCATACTCGGAATTTGTGCTCTGCATTTATCCCATCCAAGTGCACACACACACACACACACAGCAGTGAGTAGTGAACACACACACAGGCTTCAGCTACAAGGTGGACTTCCAGGCCTGCGGCTGTACTTGGGCCCGCCACCCCACTGGCTCCAATGCTTCTCCATTCCTCTGCCTCCACTCTGGTCCTTCATTCCTCTGATTCCACCTTGGTCTCCACCTCCAGAAAGAAAGAAAGGAAGTTAAATATGATAATTTTGTTATTGTTTCTCCCTCAGTGTCAAGCAGTTGCTCATCTTGGCTTTTTTTCAGTAGTTTAGTGAGTTTTAAAAAGCTGCTCATAGTAGCACGACAGGAAGAAACTCTTCACCTACAAACTAAACACACGTGAAATAAATACCCACTCTCATCTACAAGATGTTTGTCCACCCAGCAGATGAAACCACATGTCTGTAGAGCACCGACCGCAGCAGGTTTCAGTTTGACTCAGAAGCTGAACTTAAAAACCTGATACTGTGAGGTGGCAGACGGCTTTATTCTATGTAGCTTGTTTTTTTCCATTCACCAAAATTAGAATAAATATACATCAGTTTAAAATCAGAAGGCTTTAAAAATCATTTGTTAATTCTTATTCATCTTCATTTAACTGAGAAAAATACAAATAAATGTTTTCCAATGCTTTCATTGACCAAATTGTATTTTGTAAAAATAAACAAATTTTGATTTTGATGGCTGCAAAATTGGGACCATTTAAATGTTGTTTATCCACAATTCACACAATATCATTTTACTTTTAACACAGTCAGACAGCTACACTCTCAGGAAAGGTACAAAAAGGTACATAAACTGTTACTGGGACGGTACCTTTTCATTACTAATATGTACACTTTAGGCACATATATGTACATCTACAATACTAATATCCACCCTTAGGGGGTAAATAAGATACTTTTTTGAAAGTGAGCCGCCCCAGTTACAGCTTTTGTACTTTTTTTCTTAGAGTGCACCTTGCAGAAAGCATGTTAAATTACAAAAATAAAGAAAGTTTGCCCATTAAGAACAGTTATTAAGTTTTAATAACAGCCAGATGAACTGTAAAATGATATCATGCAAATGCGGCATGTGAACTAGGAGGGTCAAACTCTGCCGTGGGAGGATTCACACATTTACAGTTCTGCTGTTGGTTTAGCAGGTAGTTTTATTAGATCAGACACTGAACAACTGCAGAAAATGTTGCACATGTTTGTTTTGTTCTGTTTGTGCTGGTGCCGTCAGATTGGTAAGTTATAAAAACATTTTTATGGCTTCATTTTTTTCCTACTTCGGAGTTATAAAAGGTGCTGCTACTGTTCAAATATTATTTTCATCTACTGCCCACAGTATCATGAATATTGTGAAATCTACTAACTTTAGTCTCTGTTCATAATTTTAAATGGAAATTTCCAGGTCTAGAAAGGTCATGAAAATAAGTTTTATTTATTTACAATCTGTATCGAAAATATCCGGCACAATTAATCTCGTACTTTCATTTTGCAATAAATTATGTAACTTTATGCATCGATTTTCTTCTTCAGCAGATAACTTTAAAACAAATTAAAGATTAAGAATGTGTTGCACCATAAGGATTAAGTTTAAATCAAGGTTTAGCTAATAAATCTGTTGCGTCAGACTTTAAACTTTGAAATATGCAGACTTGCATTTAAACCATAATTTTGATCCCAATGTTCCTTTATATTTAAGATAAATTAACTTTGACCCTATTACTTTAAACTCATCAAGGAAGTCGTATGACTGCAAAAGTTGTTGCTATTTTTGGAAACCTGTTTGCTTTGAGTTCATATCTGGAATTAATGCATTTATGTTT